GGGGGGGGGGGGGGGTGGACCTTCGCGCCGCAGTCGCCCCTGCTGGATGACGTGTCGTGCGATGCGCCGGTCCTCTGTCTCATCCATCACATCACTGCAGCCACACACACACATACACATATGGATAAGTGTGGGTGTGTGTATTTGGGGTGGGGTGGAGAGCACTCCTCTTCAGCCAGGCACAACACACCGACCGGACGATAAAGATGAGGTCGAACCGAGACAGCAGGGTCTCCTGAAACGCTATTTGCTGCGACAACTCTGCGCGCAGCCACACACCCCCACACCGACACCCACCCCAAATGCGGCCATTTCACACGGTTTTTCAAAGACACACATCACATCGGCGAGGGGACCGACCTTTCTCTTCGCTGAAGTGGCCGTAGAGGGGGTTGGCTGCGGCGACGACGCTGCATCTCGCGTTGAGTGTGGCGTGGATGCCGGCCTTGGCGATAGTCACCGTCTGCTGCTCCATCACCTGCACACACACACACACACACACACATGGGTTGTCGGTGTCTCTTTCTCTGTATGTGTGTGTATGTGTGTGTGTGTGGGGTGGGGGGAGGTTGTGTGGGGGGCTTGGGAGGGTGAGGGGAACCTCGTGAATGGCGACTCGGTCTGCAGGGGACATCTTGTCAAACTCGTCGATGCACACGATACCTACCATAGAACCACACCCACACACATGGACACACACATGGATGACGCGCACACACACAGAGACAGACTGACCTCTATCGGCCAACACCATCGCTCCCGCCTCCAGCCGACGCTCCGACGTGTCTGCACACAACACAAGACACACCAATGCACACAAACACATCCGCTCTCCTCGCTGCATCCCTTTGTCTCTCGCTGCCTGCGTGCCGTGCCTTTGTCCATGGTGACGGCGGCGGTGAGCCCGACGCCCGAGGCGCCACGGCCGGTGGTGGAGATGGCCAGGGGGGCGATGTTGAGCAGGAAACGAAGCAGCTGGGACTTGCCGCAGGAGGGGTCGCCTGCACCATAAAGGACATATTTCACAGACAGACACACACAGACAGACAGACAGACGGACAGACAAAGAGGGAGGCTGCACATCTTTCTCTCTCTCTTTCTCTGTGTGTGGGGTGGGTGTGTGGGTGGAGTGTGCGGACCGATCATTAGCAGGTGGATGTCCCCCCGGATGTGGCTGCCATTCTCCAAATTGCGCTCCACACCTCAAGTACACACACACACACACACACACAGAGAGAGAGAGAGAGAGATGGTTGTCATTGTGTGTGTTGAAGGGGGGGGAGGGGGGGAGGGAGGGTGTGTGAGTACCCACCTCCGAGCAGCAGCAGGAGCATGCCTCTCTTGACCAGCTCTCTGCCGCATATCGACGGCGCGAACGAACGGGCCGCCAACTCAAACAGATCCTCACGGCCGGCAATCGCCTGCACACACACACACGAACGAAAACGAAACATTGGCTCTCTCCCTCTCTCCCTCCCCTCTGGCTAAGGGAGAGACTTGCCTCTATGTTTGTGATGTCCAGGGGTGTGGTCGCCGGCTGCAGCTTCTCCTTGTGCAGCTGCTCGACGTTGGTCAGGATCAGCACCGTGCGGAAGATGCCTGACGTCGTGGCTAAATACACACACACACAGAGGGAGAGGGATATTGCCATATGTGTGTGGGAGGCAGGGGGGGCATTGTGTGTGTGTGTGTACTGCTGTCGCGTCGACACATAGCGCGATACACACCGGTGACCTTCACCCTACACACCACACACACACATATACACACAGGCGAACATCCCTCCGTGTGTGTGGGTGTGGTGTGTGGTCTGGTGGTGTGTGTCGACCGCCTTGCCTGTCTCCCGGCTTGACTCGGTCCACTAGGTCCTCCTCAGCGATCACATCGACACTCCTATACACACACGCCACGCACCAATTGGTATTGTCAGGGCTCTGCAGGGGGTGTGGGGTGTGCAGGGTGTGTGTGTGTGTGTAAGGTGGCTCACCGCGGCAGCTGGCCGGTGGGGGCGTGTTCGGGCATTTCCTGCACCGTGAACTGCTGGTAGTCCTTGTAGATTGACAGCCCGTACTCCACCTCGTTCGTGTGACCCTCCGAGTCTTACACACACACACACACACACAGGGAGAGAGAGAGAGAGACAGGCTGATTAGGTTGATGGACACTTCGGGTGTGTGGCTGGACAGAGCAGGGTTGCATACCTGTGTGGGGAACAGGGTTGT